TAGGCGCGCGAAGTGCCGAAAGCATCTGGGGTATTGATTTTTTTTGAGCGCCGAGAGCGCGAAAGTGTTAATATGGGAATTTTATCTCCCTGACCGTAACAACTCCAATAATACGGGAAGTAGCAAAAAACCTCCCCGAACCTTTGAGAACCACAGAAGCAACAATAAATCACGAAGGTACATAAAAGCACAGTCGCACCCGAGACCAAAAGTCATGCCGAACCCCAAGAAGAGGGGAACATGACGGGGAAGTCCCAATGCAAGAAAGAGGGGTGAATGAACGGAAAGGGCACCCACCGACAGGACAGAACCAACAGACTCAAGGGACAAGGAACCGAGCCCGGGAAGAGGTCAACGCCCAACAACTTGTACGGAGAGGGGGGGAAGGAAGAACCCCACCCCGTGCAAACGCAAGCCCCACTCAGAGGGTAGAACAACCTCAGCAGGGTCCAACGTGACTCGAGGCCTCCCCAAGGCAGCCCCTCCCCCAGCCCCGGGAACCCACACGGCAGGCCCCGGGGCCGAGCCGTCCCCCCAAAGAACTGGCATCACAAGAAAAAACCGGGGCAGCCGCGAAAAGTACTAAGGAATGGAGCCTACTGGCAGACGGATAAAACATGGCTGGAGGAACAGGCTCGAATGCCCCCGTCGCTACCCCGGAAGGGGAATTCCCAGAGACCGCCCGAGTCTCAAAACCATCGAAGCCCCACCCCGACCCCAAACCCACAGATGGCAAGAATCCGGATGCAGGGAGGAAGGCGGGTTTGGTACCAGACTAGACCACAACAGGGAAAAGACAAGGGGGCATGGAAGGAAACCGAAGCAACCAACACCCCCAAGCCCCATCACACCAACCAAAATGGGGCAGCCTTGGGGCTTCTGGAGAACAAGCACACAGAGCGTTGCCACCACCGAAACCCAACTTGCAACGCCCGTGCTGCCTGTACCCGCATAGTCAGCATAAGACCAGGTAACCGAGTCACAAACAAGCAACAAAACTAGTGGGACTCGGGGCCGAAGGTGCCACCGATCCCACAGGCAGCTGATGGAGGCAAGAACCGTGAGAGTCACCCTGAGACAAGGGGACAGAGCAACCCACAAACTCGCTCGAAGCGAGGGGGGGACTCCGGGATCACATCCATCAGACCCACGCATCCCCTAGGGGTTTCCCAGGGACCTGAGCATTTACTATAAGAGGACTCACGCTCAGGTAATCTTAGGCAGGGTACTGCTAACCGGTGCCCACGTCTACCAAACAACCTTCTAAGAAACTGAACCCCTGGGACATGTACACTCACGGGGACCTAGCAGGGGAAACCACCGGAAGGAAGAGTACTCAGTACTGAGGGGAAAAGAACCAAGGCAGACCCCCCAAACAGGTAGACAAACAAAAAGAAAAAAGAAAACCCCGCAAGAGGACAGCATACCCAGGTGAAACAGAGCCAGCCGCCATGAATGGTGAAAACAAGCTGTGCAGTACCCTGCGCCCCTACCAGTGCAAACTACCACTTACCTGAAGGCGAACAAGGAAGACAGAACACCCTAGCACACAAAGGGCGGCCAAAAACCAAGCAGTAAACGGCCTAGCAGGGGCAGAACCCAAGGGACTTGTGGAAGGTGGCCCCAAGTCCCAAGGGCAGTACTTACAGGGCTCCTAGGGAAGGAAACCCTAGGCGCATGTAGCCCGAGTACTGGAGAATCACTCCCAGCTCACGCACCACCTAGAAGACAGGCACCACACGCTAGGTACAGTGCTGAAACAACCACCGGAGCACATGACCTCAGTCTTTAGCATCAGCCGAAGAACTGGGGTGTGGATCGTCGGCGCGGGAGGTCTGGGGCTCCCCCTTCCCCCACCTGGGGAGGGGGGAGCTACGCAGACGGCGGAGCGGCGACGGGTGACGTCATACAAGTTTGCTAGTTTTGTTTGAGGAGTTCTATCCACTCGTTCGGCTTTTGGTTGCAATTTTCACCAGAATAGGAGTTTGTTTTGGGACGCCTACCTTTCTGGGTGCCTAACCCGGTCGATAGCAGACATAGAATGCTTCCAATCACACGGGGGTTTCTATAGGCCATTGCTCCCCTTGCCTCTCTGAGGGGGCCAGGTTCTGGCTCGTGGTCCCCGGTAGGCCCACAGAACTCCATACACATGACTGATGCCAAAGTCTGACATTAGCATATCAGCCTAGTAAGCTCGTGGGAGCCGTAGAGGCTCTCCCCAGAAATGATTATGGACTTAGTTCTATCTGCAGTGTTTTGTACCAGTTTACTGTTGGTTACCAGTTCTTTCCTAATTGCTTGCCTAATTTCTGCTTCTTATTGGTCATTTCTGGTTTTGACTTCCGAACACACTTCCTTGATAGTCTCTTTCTCTTTTACAACTTGTGCATACTTCTCTTTTATTTCTTCTCTATATTTCTAGTTCTTTATTAGCTTCCTCTATTTGAGTTGCCAATGAAGTTTCTCGTTGCAGATCCTTACCTAACTCCATGTTAGCCCTCAGGCTCCCTTGGAGTTGTTCACCATATGAGTCTATTTTCTTGTTAATTTCTTCAAATTCCCTACTCTTCACTTTCCATGCCTCATTATCCTTTACTAGTTCCTTGATGTGTTCCTCCTGCATCCTTACCTTATAAATCAAGCTGGTAATTTCATTACCTTGCTGAAAAATACTTCCTATTAAATTACAAAACTCAATCTTGAGACCTTCATTTTCTTGTTCTAATTTAATAACCTTTTCTTCATAATACTTTATCATGTCCTCAATAATCACTAACCTGCCAAGAAAACCATCTTTCATTGCATCTTGTTGTGAGAAACCTGCAAAACATTCCTTTGTTGGGGTACTGCCCTTCCCTGTGGTGGCGGCCATCTTTGTTGACATTCTGCTGTTTTGAAAGATCAACTTTTCTAGCCAAGATTTTTCATTCACTAACACTTATTTCTTATCTCTTAGTTTATTTTCAAATTCCCTATACCTTCATGTATTCTGGGACACCTCATTCTACTCCCCACACTTAGATAATTTGAATTATCCTGGAGCCTGCAGCAGTGTGACTCTTCAGTGTGATGATGCTCACTCTTCCCCACAGTGTGTTAGCTGTTGTACTTATGCAGTGTTGTGTGAACACGATGTTCCCGGGATTTGACCAAGAGGAGTTAGAAGACGACAGTAGTGGCTGTCAGCTGAGAAGTGCTGCTAGTGTGTTGCTAGAGACTTCTGCCAGGGTGTTAGAGAGACCCCTGGAAGTGATCATTTGTGACCCCTGTCAATGTGGTGCTGAAGCCTTCTGCTAGTGTTAAGGAGAGCAGATATGGGGTATTGGGACATTATGACGATACGGTGTGTAGACTGGCCCAGGTTGAGAAAGGTGAACTCGCCGGTGATTTCCACTGAGCGTGGACGGTGTGTACTTGAAGATAGTGGACCCACTGAGATTTGAAGAACACTGCAGATATATTGAGTGTCCTGTGTGAAAGCGACACTGTGTACAAAGTGTAGTTATACTTCTATAGATAATATAAAGGTGAAGGTGTAGGTTTATCCCCCCTTTATTCCTTGTACTATTCCTTGCTACTGCCAATTCTTGAGAACTTACCATTGACTTGGGATGGGATCATAGCAAATGAGGCTTTAAGGTACATTAAACAGAAAGAACCCGGTTACTGGCTCAAGTAGGTCGTAACACCTGCACACTATACACAGTTGAACGAGGCTCTGTATAAGTGGTTTGTACAGCATTGCACAGTTGGTGTGACAACTTGCTGTGCAGAAATAAGAACTGCTGCAAGCAGATTTGCAGCCAGACTTGGAATACAGGATTTCTGCCAGGGCAAGGGATGGTTGGATTTCCAGGTTTCATACGAGACACAACACTGTGAAGAGGAAAAGTGAAGCCTCCCCAGAAGGCCAAGAGCCTTCAACCAGTGATGTTACAACAGCTGCCAGTCAAAACTGACCTTGCCAAGGTCATGTACTGTTACCTTGAGGTTATATCTTGAGGTTATCTTGAGATGATTTCAGGGCTTTAGTGTCCCCGAGGCCCGGTCCTTGACCCTCCACCCCCAGGAAGCAGCCCGTGACAGTTGACTAACACCCAGGTACCTATTTTACTGCTAGGTAACAGGGGCATAGGGTGAAAGAAACTCTACCCATTGTTTCTCGCCGGCGCCTGGAATCGAACTTGGGACCACAGGATAACGTGTCCAGCGTGCTGTCTGCTCGGGCGACCGGCTGTACAGTTGTGTTGTGTTAGCTCAGGTTACCTAACAGTCCATTCACCTGGGTTCTAGGAGACTCCAACCGTGGACCCCACGCGCGTGAGACCCAAGTTCTATCCTCCGAGCTATTGAATAGTCTTAATCGGTTACATCAATTTTCAAGCACAATTGGTTTCAAGATGTACAATATCAAACAAAATGAACTACAACAATGCAAGCTGGAGTTTCTGTTTTACATTACAATACTCGTATATTTCTTAATTATAGCGTGTGAAAATTCAAATTATGTTGGTTGTGGTACAAAAAATTGCAAATATGTTAGTTTTTGGACTTTCCCGGTAAGAATTCTGCTTATCCGCATGTCTCGCGTATCTGGTTGGGGGTCCTTCCCATATAGTCCGGATAAGTGAGCTCATGCAGTACTAGTTAACAAGACAGTACAGTATCAGTTAATAAGACAGTACAGTATCAGTTAATAAGACAGTACAGTATCAGTTAATACAGTACAGTACAGTTAATGTCAGTATCAGTTTATACAGTATCAGTTAATAAGACAGTACAGTATCAGTTAATAAGACAGTACAGTATCAGTTAATAAGACAGTACAGTATCAGTTAATAAGACAGTACAGTGTCAGTTAATAAGACAGTACAGTGTCAGTTAATAATAGATACATTAAACAAAATACCATTTAATAAAATGGCATTGTTAGCTGGAAGAATATGGGTACACCTCTTATCACTTATCCAATTAGTTTGATTATGGTATCGCTTGCTCACCTTGAAGCAAGAAGCGCGGTAAAGTAGCTGCACAACGTGTCCAATACTGGTCTTGGAGGCCTGTGGGAAGTGAGGCTCCAGACGCTGCACCACAAACATCACCAGCACCTTGCGCGACAGAGCTGACCCATCTTCAAGAGCTAGAAGAACCAGCTTTAACACTTCCTCCTGCATTGCTGAAAATGTACATCCTTCAGTATTTGGAAGCTGTTTCAATGCCACTCTCCAACATCTCTCCACACACAGACAATTTTACAAGAAATTACCATAAAAATTAAACATTCTCTTAAAAAATCTAGGATTGAATGTAATGAAACAATTCTATCTGGAGGTGCCTTTGGTCGCTCCGTGAAGCTAACTCGCTGAGATTGCTCCACCTGAAGGGGCCGCATCAGCTGCAAGAGTTCTATTTTACCTACTGGGGATCAGAACCAGAACCTGGTCCCAACTCACAGAGGTGGAGCGAGAGAGTGACATTTCACCACCTCACCTAGAATGCATGCAGAAAGTCAGTGAATCTTTACAGACAACTGCACGGTTCACAAAAAAAAATAAAACCTTGAAATTGCCAAACAAATCTGCAAAAAATTCAAATAAAATGAGATTCACTCCAAACTTTTAGTTTAGAGTTTTAGCCTGGCGCCAGTGTACAGCCACCTCCCATGTTCTGGCGCCAGTGCACAGCCACCTCCCATGTTCTGGCCCCAGTGCACAGCCACCTCCCATGTTCTGGCGCCAGTGCACAGCCACCTCCCATGTTCTGGCCCCAGTGCACAGCCACCTCCCATGTTCTGGCCCCAGTGCACAGCCACCTCCCATGTTCTGGCCCCAGTGTACAGCCACCTCCCATGTTCTGGCGCCAGTGTACAGCCACCTCCCATGTTCTGGCCCCAGTGCACAGCCACCTCCCATGTTCTGGCGCCAGTGCACAGCCACCTCCCATGTTCTGGCCCCAGTGCACAGCCACCTCCCATGTTCTGGCCCCAGTGCACAGCCACCTCCCATGTTCTGGCCCCAGTGTACAGCCACCTCCCATGTTCTGGCCCCAGTGTACAGCCACCTCCCATGTTCTGGCCCCAGTGCACAGCCGCCTCCCATGTTCTGGCGCCAGTGCACAGCCACCTCCCATGTTCTGGCCCCAGTGCACAGCCACCTCCCATGTTCTGGCCCCAGTGTACAGCCACCTCCCATGTTCTGGCGCCAGTGTACAGCCACCTCCCATGTTCTGGCCCCAGTGCACAGCCACCTCCCATGTTCTGGCGCCAGTGCACAGCCACCTCCCATGTTCTGGCCCCAGTGTACAGCCACCTCCCATGTTCTGGCGCCAGTGCACAGCCACCTCTGGCGCCAGTGTACAGCCACCTCCCATGTTCTGGCGCCAGTGCACAGCCACCTCCCATGTTCTGGCCCCAGTGCACAGCCACCTCCCATGTTCTGGCCACAGTGTACAGCCACCACCTCCCATGTTCTGGCCCCAGTACAGAGCCACCTCCCATGTTCTGGCCCCAGTGTACAGCCACCTCCCATGTTCTGGCGCCAGTGCACAGCCACCTCCCATGTTCTGGCCCCAGTGCACAGCCACCACCTCCCATGTTCTGGCCCCAGTGCACAGCCACCACCTCCCATGTTCTGGCCCCAGTGCACAGCCACCTCCCATGTTCTGGCCCCAGTGCACAGCCACCTCCCATGTTCTGGCCCCAGTGCACAGCCACCTCCCATGTTCTGGCCCCAGTGCACAGCCACCTCCCATGTTCTGGCCCCAGTGCACAGCCACCTCCCATGTTCTGGCCCCAGTGCACAGCCACCTCCCATGTTCTGGCCCCAGTGCACAGCCACCTCCCATGTTCTGGCCCCAGTGCACAGCCACCTCCCATGTTCTGGCCCCAGTGCAGAGCCACCTCCCATGTTCTGGCCCCAGTGCACAGCCACCTCCCATGTTCTGGCCCCAGTGCACAGCCACCTCCCATGTTCTGGCCCCAGTGCACAGCCACCTCCCATGTTCTGGCCCCAGTGCACAGCCACCTCCCATGTTCTGGCCCCAGTGCACAGCCACCTCCCATGTTCTGGCCCCAGTACACAGCCACCTCCCATGTTCTGGCCCCAGTGCACAGCCACCTCCCATGTTCTGGCCCCAGTACACAGCCACCTCCCATGTTCTGGCCCCAGTGTACAGCCACCTCCCATGTTCTGGCCCCAGTGCACAGCCACCACCCATGTTCTGGCCCCAGTGCACAGCCACCTCCCATGTTCTGGCCCCAGTGCACAGCCACCTCCCATGTTCTGGCCCCAGTGCACAGCCACCACCCATGTTCTGGCCCCAGTGCACAGCCACCTCCCATGTTCTGGCCCCAGTGCACAGCCACCTCCCATGCCTGGCCCATGTTCTGGCCCCAGTGCACAGCCACCTCCCATGTTCTGGCCCCAGTGCACAGCCACCTCCCATGTTCTGGCCCCAGTGCACAGCCACCACCCACCTGGCCCCAGTGCACAGTCCCATGTTCTGGCCCCAGTGCACAGCCACCTCCCATGTTCTGGCCCCAGTGCACAGCCACCTCCCATGTTCTGGCCCCAGTGCACAGCCACCTCCCATGTTCTGGCCCCAGTGCACAGCCACCTCCCATGCCTGGCCCCAGTGCACAGCCACCACCCATGCCTGGCCCCAGTGCACAGCCACCTCCCATGCCTGGCCCCAGTGCACAGCCACCTCCCATGTTCTGGCCCCAGTGTACAGCCACCTCCCATGTTCTGGCGCCAGTGCACAGCCACCTCCCATGTTCTGGCCCCAGTGCACAGCCACCTCCCATGTTCTGGCGCCAGTGCACAGCCACCTCCCATGTTCTGGCGCCAGTGCACAGCCACCTCCCATGTTCTGGCCCCAGTGCACAGCCACCTCCCATGTTCTGGCGCCAGTGCACAGCCACCTCCCTTGGTCTGGCCCCAGTGCACAGCCACCTCCCATGTTCTGGCCCCAGTGCACAGCCACCTCCCATGTTCTGGCCCCAGTGCACAGCCACCTCCCATGTTCTGGCCCCAGTGCACAGCCACCTCCCATGCCTGGCGCCAGTACACAGCCACCTCCCATGTTCTGGCCCCAGTGCACAGCCACCTCCCATGTTCTGGCCCCAGTGCACAGCCACCTCCCATGTTCTGGCCCCAGTGCACAGCCACCTCCCATGTTCTGGCGCCAGTGCACAGCCACCTCCCATGTTCTGGCCCCAGTGCACAGCCACCTCCCATGTTCTGGCGCCAGTGCACAGCCACCTCCCATGTTCTGGCCCCAGTGCACAGCCACCTCCCATGTTCTGGCCCCAGTGCACAGCCACCTCCCATGTTCTGGCCCCAGTGCACAGCCACCTCCCATGTTCTGGCCCCAGTGCACAGCCACCTCCCATGTTCTGGCGCCAGTGCACAGCCACCTCCCATGTTCTGGCCCCAGTGCACAGCCACCTCCCATGTTCTGGCCCCAGTGCACAGCCACCTCCCATGTTCTGGCGCCAGTGCACAGCCACCTCCCATGTTCTGGCCCCAGTGCACAGCCACCTCCCATGTTCTGGCCCCAGTGCACAGCCACCTCCCATGTTCTGGCCCCAGTGCACAGCCACCTCCCATGTTCTGGCGCCAGTGCACAGCCACCTCCCATGTTCTGGCCCCAGTGCACAGCCACCTCCCATGTTCTGGCCCCAGTGTACAGCCACCTCCCATGTTCTGGCCCCAGTGCACAGCCACCTCCCATGTTCTGGCCCCAGTGCACAGCCACCTCCCATGTTCTGGCCCCAGTGCACAGCCACCTCCCATGTTCTGGCCCCAGTGCACAGCCACCTCCCATGCCTGGCCCCAGTGTACAGCCACCTCCCATGTTCTGGCCCCAGTGCACAGCCACCTCCCATGTTCTGGCCCCAGTGCACAGCCACCTCCCATGCCTGGCCCCAGTGCACAGCCACCTCCCATGCCTGGCCCCAGTGCACAGCCACCTCCCATGTTCTGGCGCCAGTGCACAGCCACCACCCATGTTCTGGCCCCAGTGCACAGCCACCTCCCATGTTCTGGCCCCAGTGCACAGCCACCTCCCATGTTCTGGCCCCAGTGCACAGCCACCTCCCATGTTCTGGCCCCAGTGCACAGCCACCTCCCATGCCTGGCCCCAGTGCACAGCCACCTCCCATGCCTGGCCCCAGTGCTCAGCCACCTCCCATGTTCTGGCCCCAGTGCACAGCCACCTCCCATGTTCTGGCGCCAGTGCACAGCCACCTCCCATGTTCTGGCCCCAGTGCACAGCCACCTCCCATGTTCTGGCGCCAGTGCACAGCCACCTCCCATGTTCTGGAGCTGATAAATAACCCACCAACAAACAGACAAATCAAGAGGAAGGACAGGCCTGAGGAAGCTACTGGGGCTCTACAAGAAAGAGCTGTTATATTACACTCAATGCTGGCCTTCTGGGAAAGCCTACTAGTAGCTTCCTCAAGCTAACAATGCTGGGCTTCTGGGAAAGCCTACTAGTAGCTTCCTCAAGCTAACAATGCTGGCCTTCTGGGAAAGCCTACTAGTAGCTTCCTCAAGCTAACAATGCTGGGCTTCTGGGAAAGCCTACTAGTAGCTTCCTCAAGCTAACAATGCTGGCCTTCTGGGAAAGCCTACTAGTAGCTTCCTCAAGCTAACAATGCTGGGCTTCTGGGAAAGCCTACTAGTAGCTTCCTGAAGCTAACTAACAATGGAGAAAAAAAATGCAGAACTTACCAAGAGGACAGGTGGAAGCTACTAAGATGAAGGAGAAAAGCCGGGCCAGGTGACACGACCCAAAAAAATGCAAGACAGACTGGGGCCAGGAACATTAATCAAATACTGAGCCCCAAGAACCCTGTTAGAATGCCAAAACCAGAGCCTGCATGCAAACCCCAAGACCTGTTGGAAAAGACTGCCGCCAAAGTGGAATACTTGCAAACATTATGGACCCCGAGAGTAGCCACAGGCAAGCTAGACTATTGACACTGTGGACGAACTGGAAAATGCGAGCCATGGAACAGGGGACCAAGAAAACAGGAGCAGCCTACAATGCATAAAAGTAAAAATTCCACCACAGAGGGAAGCAAAGTTCATGAACAGTGACAAAGCACCCACAGACCCTACTTGGGCTGCTCCTCCCTCCCTGCCATCCAGGCCCCAACACAAAAATCCA